AGCGTGTGACTCTGTGTGTTCTGTGTGCAGCTGGGAGAACCACCACCAACGAGGAGCTGGAGGACATGTTGGAGAGCGGCAAGCTGGCCATCTTCACCGATGATGTAAGCACCGCACCTGAGCCCGGCTGTTGCCATGGGTTACGTTAACCTGGGCCGCTCTGCATCCCATAATAAAAGGCATTATCTGTCGGGGATGCCGAACGGTCAAGAGGTGCGCTGAGACATCAAGTGAATACGGCCATTGTCACATGACCACAAGGGGGTGATGGGAGGATGAGTGAGACGCCAGCTGCTGCATCATGGGAGCTTTTTATTTGTAGGGGTTCACTCATCCGCACCTTCAAATTAAAAGCTCGCGTATCGGCTAGTGCCAAAGCTTAGATCACGTGACTGAAGCATCATGTGAGCTGATGTCGTGGTCAGCTGCCGCAACTGGACACAGAGCGACCAATCAGAACGCTTTGCTGAGCTCCTCTGGTTAAAGCCACGCCCACCGGTGATGTCACAGTGGACTCACATGAACTTTGACCAGCGGAGCTGAGTGAACATGTGGTTTACGGCAGGTGTTAAGTGCCACCGTGAGCAGGTAAGTGACATTGGTTACATCATGACCACCGGCGACAGGAAGTGGACGTCACAGCAGATATGAAACTGATGCCACTTCCTCTGTAATGTTGTCGATTGTTGTGTTTAATGACAGGTAGTGTTTACACACAGCGGCCACAGTGAAATAGTTCATCAATCATTCAATCGTTGACCCTGATCAACGACAGATGCGAGCGCAGACACAAACCTGATCTCTGCTGCCAGGGAATATTCACTCTTGTATATTTGCTGTTTTCGGATGCTTTTGTCTGCTTCCTGTTTTCAAAATTTTTAAAGTGTGCACGTAAATTAACTTTGGCGTTGAAACGTGTCGCAGATTAAAATGGACTCACAGATGACGAAGCAGGCTCTGAACGAAATCGAGACCCGACACACCGAGATCATCAAGCTGGAAAACAGCATCCGTGAGCTGCACGACATGTTCGTGGATATGGCCATGCTGGTCGAGAGCCAGGTACGTCGTGAACGTCTGCAGGTTCAGCGACTGTAGGGGCGTGGCCTGTTACACTCTGAAACATGTGTTTGCTCTCAGGGAGAGATGATCGACAGAATTGAGTACAACGTGGAACACTCCGTCGACTACGTGGAGCGAGCCGTGTCTGACACCAAGAAGGCCGTCAAATACCAGAGCCAGGCTCGCAAGGTAACACGTTCATCAGACAAACAGGAACCACGAAGAGCCAGAACTCCCAGAATACACTGCAGGAAACATCCAATCAGAGAAAAGACTGTAAATAAAGATGGACAACATGACAGTGCCCTATAGCGAAGTCAAAGTGTCTCTATCGCCCCCTGGTATCTGGCCTGAAGTAAAGGTCCCAATCCCTCCTCCAGGTTAGCGGATGGGACATGGACCAAACTTTATAAATCCAAGTAGACGTTAAAGAAATGTTTGTTTTTTGAACAAAGATGTTTCTATCATTTCAGCTCGTTCTTATCTCACTGATGTCTGTTCAAGTGTTTCTGATCAGTTTGGTTTTAATTAGTTATTTGATATATAATGGTCTTATATCAGATTGTGTTTAGTTTTATTTCTGTTAGTCGCAGTTTAAACCTCCAGCTCTGCTTCTGTAGGAGTTAGATGTAATGGCTACAGATGTCCAGAAGGGGCAGCAGACCTCACTCTCTCACTTTGTCTTTACTAACTTGTGTGTCTCTCTGCCGTCATTCTGCAGAAGAAGATCATGATCATCATCTGCTGCGTCATCCTGGGCGTGGTCCTGGCGTCAACCATAGGTGGCACGCTGGGCTTCTAAGACGCTTCGCCACCTGCCGCTGTGATGACCGACACCGACCGACCGTCCGACTGACAGCCAGCAGAGAAAAGAAACACCAATGACGACAACAACACAAAAACTTGAAACACAAATGCAAGACAGAAAACCTATTAGCTAGGAAGAGATAACAGTCCAATCACAGATAAGAGGAAACACCAGGGGGTTGGGTGGGGTTCAAAAACGAAGACAAAATAATACAATAAAAACACCATCGCATTATAGCTGACATAAATACATAACATATAAACAGAGGGCACAAATAGTCTGACTATTTATCACAGATGTATGTGTACATGTGTTGAACGTGAAGCAACACATGGGTTAGCTACCTGTGAAAGATTATGAGCTATAATAGGACTTTTACTAGTTTGTTTGTTTGTTTTACTTTGTTCTTATTTTTTAAGTTTCTTTCGTTTTTCGAGAGTCTCCGAGGACAGCGATGGCGACTGCTGCTGTTTCTGCGGGACGAGCGTTCCAGAGACAACCTTTGTTTGTTTCTTTTCTGGTAACTAATAAATAAGCTCATGTCTTTCTACTACAGAACGTTCACCTCCATCTTTTCAGCTCCATCAGAACCTTCCAAAGCTCTGGAACTTTGGAACAGAAGGTTCGAGAGCGCAGATGTGAGTGAAGCAAGGTTCTGGAACTTTGTCCCGCAGGACGAGCACCCTTTGCTTTGGGTAGAACCAACTTTGTCTCGTTGTTTCTGGGAGGGAGGGCCAGACTTCGCCGTTGCCTCAGCCATCTCTTAAGACCATCCCTCATTGGTTGCTCACTCCTGTCATTCACCTCAGTCAGCCTGTAAAATCTGCTCTGACCACAGTAGTTATAAACATGAAGGAGCATGACAGTCAGCCAGTTGATTGGTGCTACGGGTTTCCATGACAACAACCTCCCACCTCGAGCCACAACCACCGAGCGTGGGGAGGGAGGCCCTCTGGTGGTAGAACATGTTGACTGACGGGTGAATGGTGGGAAAGAACAGAGGTGGGAGGATTTAACGGAAGGTGGGAGGAGACAGACGGTCAATCTATGCAGTTTAGATGAGAGGAACACGAATTGTCCCGCCTCTCCCGCCTAGACAGCCAATGAAGATAGTGGGTTCACATTACGCACCGAGAGGCTCATCGTGCTGATCGCTGAGATATCGTAGTCAAGGCCGGCTGTTGTCTCCACAACTGTCACAACTGTTCTTCCGGAAGATTCTAAAAAAGGAAGAATACATTAAAAAATAAAGAATAAAATAAAGTAAAATGAAACATTTTAAAAACGTACAAACAAGTCAGACAACAAAGCAGATGGACAGAAAACGTAGAAAACCCAGAAGAGGCTGGTGTGCCCCGGTCACCTGAGTGTTGTGGTAAATTGTTGCTTTTTCGTTTTTTAAAGGGGAACGTTTGTTGCTTCGTTGTTCTATGGTGCTGCTGTTTTAGTGCGTGCGTGACGTGTCTGTGACGTATCGGCCTCATCATTTAGCGGTTGTTGTTTAGTCCGTATGGTTTGATGCATTTGCCTGTTTCCTACCTGCATCCCCGTGTGTATGTGTGTGTATGTGTGTGTATGTGTGTGTGTGTGTGTGTGTGTGTGTGTGTGTGGTTTTAACTCACACTATTTGAATGCCTGACCTACACAGGTGCTACTGAACAGGAGAGGATTTGTTCCTCCGTGGAAGGTGGAACATGTGACACACACACATTCATAAACATTCACAACACAGGACACGCATGAACATTCAATGTTTCACACAGACACACTGGAAATTCCCCCTTAACACACACACCTAACGTTCCCATGTCCCACGTCATGCCAACGCTAGTGTTAGACTGTGTGGCTTAGCATGCTGTAGCGTTAGCTTGTGTAGATTATGTAGAAGCTGCTTGTTGGAGATTGATTCAGGCTTTTGGTCTTTTGATGTTAAAGAGATTTTCCTGATTTTCAGAACAACCAGTGAGAGAATGAAGAAACTTCTTCACCTTGTGGCCTGACAAAACATAATGTTAAAGTTAGCTTCACTCTCTTAGCTGATTGCTAATTAGTTTGTAAGCAAGTAGCTAGCTTATAAGATTATAGTTGTCAAGCTATTTAAATAAACAGCTAACAGCGGTAAAACATTTGGACACTGCAAACATGTAGCAATTTACAGAAAGCAAAAAACACCCCCTCTGTGTTAGCAGTAGCAGTTATCAGACATCTCTGCTTCTTTTTACACAAACGACGCTGAAAAGAACGTGCTAATTTGAAATAGTCTAATCATGACTTACTGACAGAAACAAGTTAGTCATCTCTGTAATTTGAGTATTGTGTTAACGTCAACACGGCTCCAGACTGAGACAACATACATGTGCATTAAATTTCAAAACTATTTGTTGTAAAAGCTCGTGTTGTTCCGTTGCTGATAATGTGATCTGTGTTGAGAAGTAACACAAATGTGTGTGTTGCCCCAAACTGAACAAACAGGTTTGCTAAAAATTGTGGTGTTGTAGTGTGAAGGAGAAAGTTCGTCTGTGCACAGGCTCTGTGATACGAGGGTTCACCGACTTCTGTTGAGGCCTGTGCTGGACGATCTTTCACCGTCACACCGCTATCACTGTCAGGTTAGCCATAACCATAAATACCACCTTAAATTAATCCTACACTCAAAGCAATAGTTACCGAAGAAGTAGCTAGCTCACTCTGTCTTGAATCTACCCCAAGTTTAGAAGCTATCGAGCTGGGACGTTTTCTGATGTCTACATTCGTTCTCTGGATGAATGCTACACTGACAAGATGCTAGAGCATAATATGGTGTTTGACAACGATCGTTAGCCACCATCAAAGCGACGGCATGACTAATAATACTTAAGATCACGCTAGCTGCTTTTTCAAGGCTTCCAGGGCGACATGCAGATGTGACGAAATAGTCACTGTGGAATATTTTGATATTTTATCGGGAGTCCGTGCTGTAACGTCTGTGATGATGAGTTTGCCAGATGAAAAAAAAAGGATATGGATTTTTATGTTTGGAGATTATTGTTATTTTATTCTTTTACTTCTCAAACCAAAATTTTACCTGTGTCCAGGAAAGCAAAGAGCCCCAACCCCTTCAAGCAGCAACGTCCAATAGATGTTTGTTCAGATTCATAGTAGATTTAGATGAATTAAGCACTTTTCTCTGCTAATGTGTTGTCAATGTTCATGGCTACATTCAGTCTTTATGAGTGGTTTCCAAGTGGTTTTGTTGGAGTGTGCTATCAACATTAGAAATCAGATGTTGTTCCCCCTGTAATCAAATCCTGTGTGTGCTCGATTCTACATTTCCCAGGTGTCTTGTTCTATTTCTGAGCTATTTCATAATTGTAACACATATTTGGGGAATTCACAAATCCAGAAAACTGCTGTTTTCAAATTCAATACATTTGACTCCACCAATCACGGTGCTTTTTCGTCACCTGCCTGCGGCATCCTTAAGTCGGCCACACAAAAGTCAACTCAGTTACATGTTCTCAATGGTTGATGGTTGTTGAGGTGACGTCACGGTCGTGGTGGTGTGCCTGGTTAGGTGGTGGTGATTGCAGTGGATAAAATCAGTGACGTGTGGATGCAGTCGTAACACCAGCTAGCTTGTTAGCATTGACATTTCTTTGTTGTATGTATATGTGTGTTTTCTGTAAAGTTCCTGTTCCATCAGGCCCTGCCCCCTTCCTGCAGGGACAGAAAACACGGACAAACATCACAAGCGCATAAAGAATTTAAGGTTAGAACCACTCGGTGAAGGTTCGGAAGTTTGTCCAAGTGTTCGGTTCCCTGTTCTGCTGTCATCCCTCCTCCCATTTGTTTTGTAGTTGTTTGATTGTTCAAAAAGATGTTGTTAAGGCTCGGGACTCTGCCCCTTACCTTCCCCAGCAGACCCCACAAATTCTGTTGTGTGTAATAATAATAATAATAATAATAATACAGGCATGCAAAAGCAGTGTGGAGTTTGCATGATGGTGTTTTTTGTACCCCAACCCCAAGCAGCCCGCCACCTCATGCACTTTACCACTTATCGGACCCATCTCTGGTTAGCACTACTTAACTCGTCTGATGTTTCAATTATTTGTATTTCATTTAAACGTTAAACACACGTTGGCGCTCAGTGTCAACATGTTGTTTGGAACATATTGTTGGAACAGCGTGGAAAAGTTGATATTTAAATGTGAAAGGCTGAATTTTCAAATATGCTGCCATCAACCTCATCTTTACTGCTTTCCCCCCAAACCTGATGTGGACCTCCAGACCTCTTGTCTGGTCACACCCCACTGTGTTGTGTTTTTGTGGAGGACTTGTTCCTGCTATTTTTGATTATTGTATTAAGTGTGGGACCCTCGACCTGTGGGCTGACTTCATGTCGCCCCCACCTGGCCTTGTGTGTGTGCAGCATGCCTCCCTTCCTCTTCAGTGAAACAAGGTGCATAAATGTGCGAGTGTGTATGTGTGTGTGTGTTTGTATCAGAGCAGCACAGGTTTGTTTTGATGTGCAAAGCATCCGATCGCAGGTTCACGGGTTGCAGCAGTTTGACGGAAAGAAATAAGAGATCGGACATATTTATGGACGCCATGATCACTGTTATTGTTATATTTATGAAAATTCAAACCAAAGGGTTTTTTGCTTTCCCCTCTTGCGTTCTCAAAATGTTTGCCGCTAATATCAAAGAGCACAACGCGAGTCAAGTTTACACTGAGTTTTACGTCCAAAATGAAAAAGTATAAAGTAGAATAGAACATGTACCATAACTATAAAAACAAAAGCCCAGCTCCCCCTGTCCAACACCATCCCTCACTGCATGTTGGTCTGTCCAATCAAATCTAACAAACCTATCCAATACTTATCTCACACCACAAAAACGATGTCTGGCTCCACCCCACCTTTCCTTTCCACTTGTAGATGTTAGTTTGTCATCACATGAAAAAAAATCGCATTCGTACATTTATCCATTTGAGACATATAAGGAGACAATGGTGGTGCTTTCTTATTCTATTAATTAATTGCTGTTAATCTTGTTTTTTTTGGTGTCATTATTTTGTGTACACCTTGTTTGCCAGTCTTTGAGTTCACACTACAGGTCAATGCTTGTCTGCAGGTTTGAAGGATTTGCTAGCACATCAGTCGAGGGACTGAGATAACTGGACAAAGCTTCTTCACTGTGTTTGTGTGCAAACAATAGTAAATCTCACTAAGATGGCGGTCGGGTAAATTCCGATGAAGCAGTGCTAGCTAACAATGCTTTGTTATAATTGATTGAAATGTCACCACTCAATTTTTTCTGTTGTTTGACTCATTACCTCGACTGCATTCTGCTCGGAATGCACCAAACTATTACAATTGGAGATTCGTAGAAAAGTCAGATGTTTACCAAGTGTGACATCTTTGCCTTTATTAAAACAAATGCAAGTTATGCAACACGAATGTCGTGATTTATCGACTCTGCTGTGCCACACGTAGGTTTGATCAGAAATCTTTGAGGTCTGTGCACATCGTCCTATTCTCTCATCCAATCAGTGTGGAGATATTCGTCTAGGCAGCTACATTAGCAGTTAGTCTAAAACTAGTCAAATTAGTTAATTTTAATTTTTGCAGCAGGATGTCGTACAGCGACCTGCATCGGCTGGTTTTTGGTCAATTGATCATATAAATTGCATCCAGAGCACCTGTACAGATCACTGTTGAGCACATAACATGTAATTGTACTGCAACTGAAAAGAAATTGAGGTGTGACAAAACATCATCACCTGGAGTCCAGTGTTAGCTCGTTAGCTCATTAGCTAGCTAGCTCCAATAAACCTTCAATCAGCATTTTCCTGTGTTTGAGAAAGGACTGCAGCCTTGTCCACTGAAGTTACATATATAGGCAAGAACACACACACACACACGTGTATAATATATATATATACATATATATATATATATACATATATATATATATATGTATATATATATATCGTACACCAACAAACTGCATTTCTATAACTGTATGTATGTGGCTCCGTGGCCATTAAACGCTTCTATTGGCTGTGTACAGTTTTTGTCAGAGCGGGGTATAGAAAGCAGGAAAAAATCATCCAGAGAGAGTTTGGACGCGACACCAAGACTCCAAAGATTGATTTACCATTAGCCGTTAGCCGTTAGCCATTAGCGTGTGTGTGTGCAAGTAATGTGGCATGTTGTTTCACACACTTATTGAAAATGGACTTTGGGTCAGACGTGTGTGGACACAACACGATCTCTTTATTTCTGCAGATTCATTTGTTCATTTTTGAGCCTGACGAGCGTCTGTCTTCCATGTTTGTACACAACAGACGCAGAGTTTAAGACTGTGAGGATTCAACGTAGTCGTACTTTTTGTCCCTCCGTTGTCAGACAACCAAACTCTTCTCTGTGATGATTTTTGTCTTCCTGAAACAATTTTCAAAAACCAAAACCTGTTCAGTGCCCTGCTCTGGATGATGATAAATGAAATGTTTGTTCATTGTGGCTTCTTCCTGCTTTTGTCGGCAGTAGCAGCGGCAACTTGATATTAACTGTTGTTTCTGACGATGATTTATTTGATGCTCCGCCCACTTGTCGTACAAGACAGTATTTGATTTGATCAGTGTTTTTTTTCCCTAGTGGGGGGTGGGAGAGGTCAGGGGAGGGACCATGTAGATAGACCACACCCACATGGTCTCTGCCACAGCTAGTAGGAAACTTAAATAACTTTATCATGAATATTATTGTTATTATTATTATTACCATAAATGACAAATATAATGCAGTAAAACATTTGCAAAAACCCAGAGGGAGAACGAACGGCTTCACACAAAGTGATCAAACATAAAGAGGTGATGACGATTCTATAATAGCAATGAATTAAAGAAGTACAAACTGAGTTATGTTATCATAAATAATAGTAGTAATATTGAATGCTCGCAATTTTGTCAAACTGAAACTGGATTCTTTGTGTTATGTAATTATTGTAAATAACTTCAAAGAGAGAAAAAATGACCTGCATGTCTATGTATAAATCTCATGAGATATCTATTCCCGTCAAAGTTGACACGTAGTTCGATCTCTGTCCTTTTTTGCCACTTTCGCTTCTCCTGTCAAATATCGCCCATCCTCGACTCCAAACTCCAACCCCTTCTTATTTCTGTGTGGCCGAGAGACGTAAACGTAGAGAGAGAGAAACGTGGCTTCCAGCGTCCTCGTCCGTCATGCTCAGTTCAGACCTTGTGTTTACACCAACCTGCTGAAATCCAGTTTACTCACCCACCTTTTTATTCTTTTCTGTCTCAGAATACTCGCTGACGACAGAAGTGGAAAGATCTCGAGTTTCAGCAGGTTGATTTTCTCCGTGTTGTAAACACAGTCGACCACACATCATACATCACCCCAGTTCCAGAGGCTCCGCCCACTGGCTCCTCTGATGAAAGTGCTTCCCTCCATATTAGGAAAATGGATCCCGCCTTCAGGGCTTTCCAGGCCACACCCCCTGATCACTTCAGAAGCCCTGTTAGCGGTTTGAACTCTCTCTCCCTCTGTTTAACACTCTGTCTCTCAACCACAGCTAATTAGCCAAGCTGCACACCTAAACCTCAGACTCTTTACCTGCCCGTTCTACCCAGAGTTTAGCCGGATCCCACTCCTCCAAAACCTCCTGCCGGATCATGAGAGGGGCCCAAACAGGCTGCTAACACCAACAAGCCAAACGTCAAATGCAACTAAAAAGTGTTATAGTCCCACTCGTATACATCACTTCTGTCAGAGTTTCCGCAGCCACATCGCTAAAGGCTTCATCTCAACATTGTCTTTGGTCGTCACAGCGACAGTCTGAACAAGTTGGAGTCCCGTTTCCCTGAAGTGTCTCAAGACTGTTAGGACGTTAGCACCAAGGTGTTAGCACCAGGATGTTAGCACCATCGTATTTCTAAAATCATCAGCAGTTAAGAACAGAGCAGTTTTAAAATCACATCCTGTGTTTCTGCAGCTTCTCGTCATTTTCTGATTCTCACCTGGTTCCTGAAGGAGGTCTTCGCTTAAGTTCCTCAAAAGCATAGAAGCACAAGACATTATTCAAAGGTCAAACAGAAAATCAAATCTCAGGCTACATCCATACGACTACGTATTAGTTTGAAAAGGTATCACGTCTGCTACAAATTCATCTGAGGTCCACGTCTCTGAGTTTTAGAGACAATAAATCAGAGAAGTTTAGAAATGCTGCTAATCCCATTGCAGTTTGAAAACTCTAGAGCTGCGTTTTATTCTGGACAAACAGAAACTGCGATATTTGGAAATGAAGACGCTCACAACCTCTTGCTGATTGGCTCTTTTCAGTAATGACGTAGCCTTCACTGATTGATCAGGCTCCTGTCACATGACCTCCTTCTCCCAGAGCAGAACAAACAGAATCAAAGTGTTACTGACATTGTTGTCTTTGCTAACAGCTGCTGTTCAGTCACATTCTGCAACTAACAACCAGCGTAACACTGGTGTGTTAGCGCGGACACATTAAAACCGAAGCTGAGCCGAAATGCTTGGTGGACAGAGATTACGTACATGGTCGCGTGGATGTAGCCTCGATCCTTTGCCACAAACCAGTTGAACGTTGTCGTGTTTTTCTGAGAAGGAAACACTGACAAGTAGCTCAGGTTTGTGTGGAGGAGCTTCACAAAGTGATTTGGTACGAGTGGCGCTTCGATGGGTTTGAGGAACGCTTTTTGAGTCACCACCTCGTGTTGGGCCCGGTCTCTCGCCTCACACAGGCCTACCACAACAATGAGTGCAATATACAGAGAATCAAGGGCTTTCCTATTCATGCAGAGGCGTCCAGGCCCGGCCAATGAGCTGCGACCTCCTGCAGGAACTGACGCCATCACACAAACCTTCCAATGAAACCGTGTTTTAGGGAAAATAAAGATCTGAGCTGTCTCTGGGGAAACGGCAGGAGATAAGAAAAGATAAAAGAACTAAAGGAGGACAGGGCCATCGCCATTTAGACGCAACTTTGACCGGAAATGCAACTTGTGTCCCGTTTTTTTTGTGTGCGTGTATGTGTGCGTAGCGTAATGTAAAAGCGATCTGTCCCCCCCTTCCATCCCCCTTCTTCCGACCCCCCCTCTCTCGTACTGCTGTTGGCTGTTCTGTTTAGTTCATGTGATGTGCCAGTACCCCCCCTTTACCAATTTGCCTAACCCCCCTCCCCTCTCTTGCGCCCCCCCATGGATCTTTAAGATGACAACTCTATGCAGATGCTGTCTTTTATAAGTGTGTCAAATTTTAATTTAAAATAAAAACTTAAAAAAACAAACCCTGACAGACATATTGAAATGATAACAAAAAACGAATAAAGAAAAGGATTGTTAAGTGTACTCCTCCTCTGCCTCATGACGTCTTATTGCTTTTGTCTTTCACTCTCGTTTCTCATATTCAGCAGTTTTCTCTGCTGTGCTTTGAAAATGAAGATTGTATTTGAACCTGCACCAGGAAGTAAAGTTCACGTTAAATGTCACAACACAACAACAACAGGAGATTGTAAACATCTCAACATATTTGTCTCTGTATTTCAAAAGTGATTTGTATTTTTTAAAGTCACAGGAACATTTGTCATCTTTGTAGAAGTTACACTTAAACATAAACAGTCAGTTAATCAGTCGGTCGATCACTTCGGAGAGGATTTATTTCCACATCAGAAACAGAATTAATTCATTTGAAAAATGCAGATGCAGAAGAAATGACAGCCACAAAAAGCCTGTTGTATTCATAGGATCAAAGACAGTAATATTTCTATTCTATATGATCAAAGAGTAATATTTCTATTCATCTTCCTTATTATAGGTTTTATATCATTATCACTGCTGATTGTTTGGTTTTACATTAGAACATTTTGTGATGAAACATATATAAAATATTCACAAACAGCAGAAAATTCTATCAACATACTTTTGTGTCACAGTTTATTTGTGACTGAAGGATGCGAAGTATTAAAAACATAAACAATCCATCATGAATTTGTGTTGATACATTCAGAAATAGGGTTATATTTCTGTTATTCCCTCATTTATATAAATGAGATTTGTATATTTATTAATAACTTGTCACTAATAAATAATTCATGTTATATGCGTTCATATTGTGTCATTGATCAGATTAGCTTTTGCAATAACTCAACATGTGAAACAGAAATAAAGTCATCGAAGTTTTAGTTTTCAGTGAAAAGTGAAATCATTTAAAACTTGTTGCAGTTTTTATCAAACAGGATAAAAACGGTTCGTTTGTTGGAAAAACTCAAAACATTTGTGTTTGTTTTAAATAAAAGGTTTCGTTAAATTGAAGTCTTCAGTGACAGTTTCAAATGTTTCTCAGCTGCTTCATGAAACATAAATAAAAACATTCTACAGTTTGTATATAAAAGTTTACTGCTATGTTTCTACACAACACGTTACACTGCACCATTTTGTGTTCCCACTGAAATCAAGTGAATTATTGTGAGACATGAAATGATTATCTCCATAAAATTCATTTTGTTTTTTCCAGAGTTTCTCATATTATCATGACTCTCTATATAAAACCTGTCTTCAGATGAAGATCAACATATTTTTAAACATCAGCAGCATCACGAGCTCAGTGGATGTGAGAGAATCAAGTCATCACAGGTTTTTTAAGTCATTAATATGAGAAATCTTTTTTTCTTGGTGAAAACACTGAACTGTAGAAATGTGGGTTAGAGGA